TGTATGCGTATGTAAGTACATATAATACTTAGATATATATATTTATAGTAGATATGGAAGCACGCAAATAAAAGCGTGTAAAATTTTACACGATTTTCTGTGTCGAGAAAATTTCCATGGCCTCGTACATACATACATACCTATGTAATATGTACATTAACATACATACATACATATGTATGCCTATGAATACTTGGGTTGTGCTCAATAAATGTTGTAATCAATTACATAAAATAGATACAACAATTTCGTATATTCTAATAAATAAATTAATTGATTGAATGTGCTTGTTTAGTAGTGAAAAGTTCGTAGGAATTTTCTCTATTGCTTTCTTTCCCTTAAGTGGCTTTCGAACATTTTGAATGACTTCAAAAGCGCTGCGAATATATTCGTCTTTGCTATGCAAGAGCAGGCCTATCTTTATATTTAGTTTCCATATATGTACTACATTTCACGCACACGTACATACATACTTATGGCAATTTTTTAATTTTTTGCACACTTTTTTAGTTGCTCAGCTTTTCGGCTGAGGACCTACATACATATGTATGTATGTATGTATACGAAGTAAGCCTTTACTCTTAATAATAATTTTCCACTTAAAAACTTAATGGACTTCATATTTCTCTTACTCATACATCATGAAAGTATAAAGTCCAGACGCTTTTAATTGAAAATTGCTGACGTCAAAAATTTAGAAAACCGCAAAATCAAGTCATTATTCTTTGTAGGGAGAAACATTTTTTTTTTTTAAATGGCCTGCCGGGAAAATACTTTTGTACTCCAGCACTTGGCTGGCTATAAAAAATAAGATTTTATCTCGTCGAGAAGTGTACACGTGAACAAGAAAACATGAATAACTACATATCGAGCCCTAACCGCCAAAAAGACGTATGTGACATTTTTTAAAAAATTTTCTTTTCGATGCAGAAATATTTGTACAGCATCTAGATGCATTTCTGCATCAGCATTAAAATTTAGGAAACAAATTCGCTTACATCTTTTAGGCGGTTATTTACTACATTCATAGTATGAATGTATGAATTTCATACAAACTTATATAGATGTTCCCAGTAAACATAAAACGAGTCTATGAATTTGTATCTTCATTCACTTACATACATACATATGTACCTATGTATGTACATTAGAGTGGTCCAATTTTTGTATGAGTGAAAAAATATCATTCTAGAAAACGGGGCACCCCCTTAGTTGGTTCCTTTTGATATTTGTAATTTCTATACCAATTTTCAATTTTCTACTGTAACCAGCACAGGGTGCTTAATGACCTTTAAATGCGCCACTGGATCGCTGTGAAACTAGCAAAAATGTTGGTGGTTTTTATAAAAAGCTACTGTTCCAATGACAGCTGTAATTTGTAATATTTTTTTTTTTAATTTGAAATGAAATTGTTTGATTAATATATGTACACAATATTTGTAGAGTAAAATATGTGCCTCACCTAAATTTATACTTAGATACGTAAAGTTTGGTACCAGCACCTCTTTCGGCAAGAGGAAAAATTTTGGAAGGTGCCCCATACCCTATCTGGGAACAAATTTTTTTGGACCACTCTAATGTACATCCATATCGATGCATTACTTCTAGAGCGAGTAAAATGAGTAAACCAGATTTTTTTTTTTTTACTGATGGCTTCTTGGCTGGAAGGCAGAAAACGATGTTTGATATTCGAACTAAGGAGAAAACTTAAAATCAATCGAAAATGTTTCAATCAGAGGGAGACAAGGTTGATGGGAAAGAAAATACAGTTTCCATGACAACTTGAACATGAAAATTTCCATGAAAACTGTAATGAAAACTTGCCGAAAATTCCATTTCAAATGCCTTTTTGTTATAGATATATCATAAGTTTTTCCATCATTAAAATTCTAAAGCAAACGCGGTTAAAACGCGGTTAAAACGAGGTCCAACGAGTTTTTAGTGAGACACCCTAATACACACATACATATGTACTCGTACATTAGACCGTATCACAAAATAAAGTTCACTATTTCGAATTTTTTTTGCTGAGCATAAAAACGCGACCCTTTCACATTTTTCATCGTATCTGCAGCATTTACAGTCGGATCTTAAAGTATGATATATCGCTGTTCTTGGTCCGAGAAATTTTTTTGTTTTGTTATTTAAAAAGTTTTTTTTTTATTGGCGAATGTATGTAGGTGCCACCGCAAAATGTGTCGTCTTCTTATATTCGGACGAAAAAAAATTTTTTTTTTCGAAATTTCTTTACAAAAATACTTTAAAGTCAGGGGCGTACGGCGATTATTTTATTTGTATACTTGTAAGGTCGTACTGTTTGATGTGCGTATGTATGTACGCAGAAGTATTTATGTTTGTATTAAATTTCCTTTAAATCGAAAACCCAGTGGAAAAGTTTGTTGGGTAACTGTCAGTAAAGAAGAAGTGCATAAATAGCAAATCGGTTGAACTTTGAAATCTTCAAAACAAGTGCTTGTGCATACGAGATATTTATATTTACCGAGCATACGCTACATAGTACAGGCCCATGTACAAAGATATGCAAATACTTATAAAATACAGATACATCTTTTCTGTGCGTAAATATTTCAGTCTGTTGTAAAAACTTTTCTTGGCATGTGTTGGCGAAGCGATGAATGACTGCTGTTCTGTTACTTAAATAAAAGTTTACATTCGTACTACATATGTACACACATATATATATATGTAAGTGCATACATACTATGTATATTTACATATGTACATATATATCTTTAAGCGAACGCTTTATATAAATAAACTAAGGCGTTTTTATTTCTTTGCATTTCTTAAAAAAAAATTTGTACTTCATAAAAATTTTATGAGTGCAAATTTAGCAATTTATGCTACATAAAAAAAAATTATTTTACGTTTTAGACTGAAATTTAGTAGACTCAGCTTATTTGTTATCATCGCTCCTTTTTGCAAAATACAACTTTTTTTTCAGAATTGCGATGATATAAACAAATATAAATTTTATTATAAACAAAGTTAGTAAAATAGCAGGTAATCAATGTACAACGTCTTGGACGTACATAATTACATAACAATGTAAATATATTTATCTTAAAAGAAATTTTCGTTTCTTTTTTATTTCTAAATGGAATATATCGAGCGAAAGATCATACACGTGCGCCAATTGTGCTCCGATTAAACAAAAAAAATTCCACAAAATTTCAATACAATTTTGTAAATTAAGTTCACTTGTTTACTTCTATGAAAAAATCTGATATATAAAAGTATAAATTACAAATTGAAAGGCTGGCCTGTGTATGTAGCCTGTAAAATTTGTTTAGTGCTACATTTTAATGAGTTTCAATGAAATTAGAATGACTAAAGTATTCACGCGTAACAGTAATTATTTTTGTTTTTTTAACATTTATTTTTACGTTTTAGACTAAAAGTCTAATAGAAGTATTCAAAGTAGCTGTGAGCACGAAAATCAACAGATATTCCTAGGGCAAGAATATGACTTATGAAGACCCCAATCCACAAAGGAATTGAGAATTTGGTTTCGATTTTGCCAAATTTTTCACTCTTTTCCAGCTCACCCGTTCACTATCCATCTCTCTCTCTCTCCCTCACATCTCTCTCTCTCTCTCTCTTTTAAGTAGTAAATTAATATACTACGAGTATAGAATAGCAAAAATCTAAACAAAATTTTTAAAACATCAATGCATCTCAAAAGGATTTCAAAATTGCTTAAACCTCCAATTCTGTACTCAAAGAGGAAAAAGAGAAAGAGAGGTGTTGCTGTTTTTATTATGGTAGACTTATCCGTAAAAGTAGTAAATTTCCCCGCCTATCCCTTTAGTTTATATTTTTTTGCACCTTCTCTAGGCTAACATGCCAGGGTGATTGGCAAATCTTGGTTTCTGGGGTCTACCAGAAATCCAGTCCACTCCTTCGTAGAGTTTACCAGCACTTCTGCAAAGGCTTTAACGGTCTAAAGGCTCCGTTATGCATACTTGGCATTGCTTGAGCGTTGTCACATAAGGAATCTGTTAAATGAGCTTCGCGTGTAAGCGGTTACCCAACGCACAGCATTACATACGTAAAAGTCTGTTGGTTTTTGATTTCTACGTAAAAATGGTATAGCAGTGCATGCAATGCCAAGTATGCATAACAGAGCCTTAAGGCTCTGTCTCGTTGGAAGGGCTTGCTAGATTTTCCAAGAGATCGGGGTGGTTACAGGCCGTCTAGGAATACTTTTCAAGTTCGATTAAGGGCAAGTCTGCTACTTCAAAGTTTTTCAAGAAATTATCTCTTGGAAGTTACTCTAAAAATCCAGAGCCCACTAAACCTTTTGATAACTTGGGCTATGTGTTTGGAATTTGCAGTTGTGAAGCCATCTTTTCGAAATTTTTATACAAATCTTCACTTTTAGACAGTGTTTGTTATGAAGAGTTCTTTCCTACAATGTATCACAAAAATACTTCTTAATGAATTCATTGCACTAACAACTTATGTACTTACAAATATCTAAACAATAGCAAATGCTTAAAAATTTTTCCTCGCCTACTTGTTTTTCTCATTTTCTTTTTACTTGTATTATTGTTGTTCTTTTTTTTTTTTTGATTGTTTAATAAAGTTATGCGTGGAATGTTGCCTTGGTTCAATCGCATACTTGGAAGCATAAGATACTTAACCGGTTATTGACTTGCGCGCACAGTTACTTTCATAATTCCATAGCTCACCAGCAGTATGTCATTGTATTGATGGAGTGGTTATTTATTCGTTTGTATGTATGTATGTATGTATTGTTTGTTGTCTAAAAATTCCAGAATTTAATCTCGATCTTTGCTAAGCAATTAAAGAAACCTAAAAAAGTAGCATCCAACAATCTTCTATTGATCACCAAATTTATTTATTTTTTTCTAGTATTCATTTTTCACTTACCAGAGCTACATTTGTGTATTCTTTCATGTTACCTTTACTACTCGTATTCTCTTACTCTTACTCTTACTCATTAAGTTCATTACCTTTGTGGTTACCTGTGTATGATGATGACTTCTGGGGAAGATCAGTCTTGAACGCAAGCTTGTGCCGGGCATTGTGCCTGCTGTTGGTGTTGGTGTTGGCACTATTGTTGGTTGCTGTTGTGTTATCAACGGACTGCGCGTCGATTTGACAGCCATTTTTGCTGTTGGATTTTTTTTTCTTTTTTGTTTTGCTTGTTTGAACTATTTTATGGTATTTCTGCCGCAGTTGAATTTCTCGCACGGTTTTTTCCTTAATTCGTATCTTTTGTTTTTGTTATTTTTTCTACCTTACACTCGATAGCACATTTTCGGTAATTCCCAAAAATTTTAACTGCTCGATGATTTGCGGTTTCTTCCATTTAATTATTTTGCATTTTATTGCATTTATCTTATAGATAAATGCACAAATACTTTTTTTTTTGTTTGAAGAATGTTTCACTTTTGGAAAAATCTTTGATTTATGCTGATGTTTGTACTATTTTGTAAGATAACTATGAAAGGAGAAGTTGTAATCTTTGAGATGATAAGAAAACAGACGCGTTGGCTGCATTGACTCACTTGCTCTCCGCTAAAAGATGTGTTAGTAATTCCTGCCCTCAAAAGACGCAAGTTTGCTCCGCTGCGACCATTTTCGTCTAACCTCAATTTTTTTCGCCTTGCATAAATAAACTGCATTTAGTAGATCGAACTTACCTAGGCTATTGAGGAATACCATAAATTTGCTATGTAAAGATGGCAGGTTAGAAGGCTTCGAAACGATATTAAGCGCTACCACATGAGTTCCTATTCGGCTGTGCCCGGCGAGGATTCCTATGAGAACCTACAATTAGCGCTTTGCCCATTTGAGAACCTCCTTTGACAACCAGTGGTCGACTAACAGCCACAAGGACTTTCAAACATTGCATGTGGAGTTTTGCATCCGACACTCATCGTTTGTTACGTGTACTCCCTATGCCAAAACTTCCGAGAATACACTCTGGAACACAAGTCGGCTTGATTGTGAAGTAGTCCGAGACTAACGACGGAGAGGTCAGGTATTTTCCAACCAGTTTCGATCGCACCTGATTGCCGCTGGAAATACACTGCAGAAATCCGGAAGTCCAAACGTGAGATTATAGAGGAATTCATGATAGAACAAGCCTTCTCTAACTCTAGACCACTTGTTTCAGTAGCTTCACTCTGTCGTTCAGAATTTTAGGGGAATGTATGGACATATGTAAAGAAGGATCCAATCGGTGCCAGCGTTTTACCCGTAATGTCTGCGGGTACTACGAACACGTAGTGATCAGGATTAGAGTACAAGTCGCCCAGAAGGCGACGCTACTTGGATTTGAACAAGTACGCCCGTTTGAACACCTTCTACCTTCTTAACTAATGTAGACGCCTCTAGTAAATTTCAACAGACAGCCTAATTGGCTCGACCATGATTTCATACAGTTTATGCCTTTTTTACTCGCTTCTCATTAGCTTACTGCCTAGAGTCACACCCAAATATTTGACCTTGTCACTAGACGAGAAAATATTTTTAAGAACTTCATAGAACCAATGTTCAAGAAACCAGCTACATTACCAGCATGTTACTTAGTTTTTCGAGGTTTTGGAAATGCATGGAGTAAGATTATTAAACAAAAAAAAAATCAATTCTTTCAAAATTTTCTTAACCCTCTGATGACCTGCGAGCAGTTTACCCAAAAGAGCAAACATACTCGCAAGCTAATTGTATGAGCTTCTGAGTTTTTGATTGGTTTTCTCTGAGTGATCCGTATATACATTTTTCTAAGAAATATCTTTTATTTTAAAAAGTTATAATAAAGGTACAAACAGAATTTGTTTATTTCAAAATCATCTAAACCTTTCTGGTTCCTTTTTCTTGGGCTAACGGTTGTAAATTTATTTGTGTATTTGTACTTGGAGCTTTTCGGCCGGTGTGATGAAAATAAAAACTTTTTTGCTTATTTTTTTTTGCACTTAAAGGGTTAAAGTAAATAAGGCTGGGATTCGATTCAGTAAAATTTCAATGAAGTTTTAACAGCTTTACTAAACACGAAAAATTCAAAATAAAATTTGGCAGTTGAGCAAAGACTTCGAGGACCCGAGTATTTTACCATTTTAAGGGATACTAAAAATGTATCTAATAAAAAAA